ATAAAATTATTTCTAATTCAAACATTTACTAAATTTTAAATTTAGATATTAATTAACAAATTATAATATTATAATAAAAACTTATCTAATTAATTTGATAATAAATTCAACTAGACATAATAAAATTATTTCTAATACAAAGGTTTACTAAATTTTAAATATCGAAACCTAATTAATAAAAATAACCGTATTTAAATTAACCCTAATTCAAAATAAATTAAATATTAAATATCAATTATTTAACCATTTGGACTATAATTAATATTAAAAATCAATCAATCAATTTAAATAATCATAATTAAATTAATCCTAAATCAAATTAACTTAATTATATTAATCCTAACTAATTACAATATTAATCCTATTGGAAATGTTAATTATAATTTAAAATAACAACGAAAAAATTAACAATTAATATTAACCTAATAATTCACAAAAACAATAAGAAAAATAAAAAATTAATTAAGAAATTAACAATTAACATTAACATAAAAATTAACAAAAGCAATAAAAAAACAACAAATTAACAAAATTTTGACATACTAATTAATAAAAATAACTAACAATTAACATAATTAACATAATAACTAACCATATTAATCTAATTAAAAAACTTAAAGATCTAGAGAGAGAGAATAAATTACCGAAGGAGAATAGGGGAAAGAGAGACTGCGACGATTTCGATGAGAAATTTACGTTTTGTAAGGCCGAGTGGGTCGAGGAGGGAGTGGGGTGGCATGGGGCAATGGTTAAGGGCTATTGGGGGTGGCGGCAATAGTGGAAGAGAAGGAAAAGGTGAACATGAAGCGTCCGAAAGTTAAAAAGGGTTTGGGATTAACGACGAACATGTTTTCGTCGCTAATCCGTCGCTATTTAGAGATGGAAATAAGAATCCGTCGCTAATTTGAATTTCAAACATCCCCTTAAATTTTCCGGAAGGATTGAGAAGTTTACCAAAAATGAAGATGGACATATTGTCCGTCGCTATGTTATCGTTAATTAATGATGGAGTAGTCGTATCCATCATTGATTCAAATTTTCAATGGCCGTCAAATTTTCGCAAATTTAACTAATTATCGATGGATGTAGTCTAAAGCTGATTAGCGATGGATAGCTACGTAAAAGCTTCGTCACTTGGCTAACGATGCGTTGAGCGACGAAATTTGTATTCGGTGATTAAAGTCTCTCGCAAGGCTGTCGCCAATCCGTTGTTGCACACTCAATAGCAACAAAAACTATTTTGTCATTGATGTTCCGTCTCCAAACCATTGTTGATCTGTTGCTAAATGATTTATTTTAAATTATCGAATAGCGATCGCTTTTAAGTAGGTAAATGGCGACGGAAAGAATCCGTCTTTAGTTGCATTTTTTCTTGTAGTGGCTAGGGTTCGTACTTCAATTTTTTTTTAATTAAATTATATGGTAATTGTTATGAGAAAAGATTTTTAAATTATGAATCGTAAATCTTATCACATTAATTCAATGGTACGATTATAATTTTAAATGATTAATGAATAATAAAACACAAAAAAGTTTAATTATCTCTGACATCATTCTTTTTATTTATCATCTGAGATGATCATATGATTGGAAATAGTTCTATTTTGAGGCAAGAAATACGAATATTAATCTACCTAGCCCAGGGAGTTTAAAGGGCTAGCTAAACCTAGCCAAAATGTGAATTTAGTTTATTCTCTTAAAAAAAGAAAAAAAGAAAAGAGGAGCTATATTCTCTTTTATTTTATGTGTCAAGTTCCCTGGTTGTCTTTTTTCTATCTCTTAAAAGAAATGCTAGGGTTCGTACTTCATTTTTTTCTAATTAAATTATATGGTAATTGTTATGAGAAAAGATTTTTAAATTATAAATCGAAAATCTTATCACATTAATTCAACGATAAGATTATAATTTCAAATGATTAATGAAGAATCAAACACAAAAAAGTTTAATTATCTCTGACATTAGTCTTTTTATTTATCATGTGAGATGATCATATGATTGGAAATAGTACTATTTCCAGGCAAGAAATACGAATATTAATCTGCCTAGCCAAGGGAGTTTAAAGGGCTAGCCAAACCTACCCAAAAGGTGAATTTAGTACATTCTCTTAAAAAAAAAAAAATGGAGCTCTCTTCCGATTTCACATAATCCAAAAAATCGGTGGCAACTTCTTGGTAGTGTGATCGTGGGAACACCCAGATTTAAACTGTACTAATTTCTTAAAATTTCTAATTACTTTTCATATAAATATTCCTAAATAAAAGAACATCCTAATTAACTAACGAATCATTTCACAAAAAAAAAAAAAAATCCTAATTAACGCCCCCTCACGCACATCCAAAAAAAAAAAAACATGATATGGATTCCTTGGGTATGCATGGATAAATAATTAATTAGCATAATTTTGTGGAAGAATTGTGTATGTGATTATAGAGCTCAATCGTAGGAAGCCCAAAAGGACCTCTTATATATATATATATATACCTAATAAAATAATTAAATGCAGCGGTGAGATATATTGCATTACTATTTTTTTTTCATGATCTATAAAATAACTAGAAATCCTTAAAACTTATTAAGAACTTGAAATTTAATATATATAACATAAATTTTTTTATAGCAGTGAAGTTCTTGCGAACCTCGAGTCCACTGTCCAGCTAAGCCATGATGCTAATACAGAGAGCACCTTTAAATCCCAGACCTCACTTTCCCTCAAAATTAAGAAAAAGTACTAAACTAAAAATCCATTTTTAGAGAAGTTGGTTCTCATTTCTATCAATATCGCCGTATTAAACTCCTTCAACAATCTAGAATATTTAAGTTGCTACATTCTGTCCAACTAACGAATCCCTATATATTTTATCATGTTATCTTTTGATCAAATACCAAAAACCAATTAATAGCTCATAACTTGTTCAAAATATAAATAAATAAATAGATAAAACAATTGCTTCGAAAGACAATTAAGGCGATCGGGTTAAAAAAGGAAGTTTCAAGTAAATATTTCTACAGTGGTGAAATTTTTTTCCTGCATGCAAGGAGTAACAATAGATCGTATCAAAGAGAAAACACACACATATATATACACACCACAGTACAATAGCTTCGAAGAAATGAACATTTACTTTTAACATTTGTAAGAATTTTCTTTCCAACTCTCGGTCTAATATTCAAAAAGGGTTGCCAAGTGCCCAACAAGAATAAGAAAGCAAATGGCAAGGAGGGTCTTGAACGTCTGTGGTACGTCTTGACCCAAATGTTGGAATTTTGCGTAAATCATCTTGCACTTGTCCTTTCTACCCTATGAATTATGATCAATTAATGAGGGGCCAGTCAGACTGAACTTGGGCAGGCAAGCCTGAGGCACAGAAAGTTGTTAGTTTAAATTGATGATGCTGATACCCTAATAATGGTAAAACTTCTTTTGTCAAGTTCATGCACATAGTTTACAAGCCCACAGAATTCATGGTTTGAGTCTCATCAACAAGCCGATGAACAAAATCTCTTTATCAAGTCTGTGTTATCTTTGAAATATGCTGGCTAGAACAGTATTACTTCTAAGTCATAATGATGATGCGTGTAAAGATTTTCAGGAGTTGGGCATGGTTTGATTTTTTCTTTTGGTTAGATTTTCGTTGACGTTGAGAACAAACATAAACCTCATGTTTGGTGTAAGTTGAGTCACATGACAGAGAAATTGCTAAAGTTCTTAAAAAAAAAAAAAACACTGAACAATCTACGCTAAGACCCGTACGCTATTCATTCACATGTACAACAAACACTCACGGTTACTGTTCTGCGACATTTCTCATCCTTCTCTTTTATGTTTATTTTTTCAATGCCATTTAATGTTTTTGTGCTATTATGTTTTCACCCTTTAATGATTTTCTTTTTCTTTATATCTTCTCTGTCCTTTTTTGTAATTCTATTTTCTTTTTTAACAATCACTCTTCTATTTTATGTCTAATTTCTCTTATTCCAATTAGTGCATTTGTGCTATTATATTTTCGCTATTTGATGATTTTCTTCTTTTTCTATCTCTTTTGTCCTTTTTTGTAATCCTCCTTTTTATGCTAATAAAAAAATATAATCTTTTATATTAATATTATTGATTATTTTATGAATAAATATATATGAATCAAATGTACTTAATTTTTTGTGCTAATAAAAAGAATAACCTTTATTTATTTATTTATTTTTATACAGATTTTTACATTAATTGTTGCTTTATTTTTTCATAAAATCTTAAGAAAAAAATACAAAGACATTTTTTTAAAAAAAATTTCATTAAAATTTTTATTTAGATTATTTCAAGTTTTTATTTAAGAACTAATGCATAAAGAAGAACAAATAATGTTTTTTTTTAAATAAAAAATTTATGAAAAATAAAAAAATTAATTAAATATAAAATCTTAGTTAAAAAATTAGATATTTTTTATATTTAATTTAACATATTTTAATAGGCGCATAAAACACCGTAAACTATAAATTAAAATAATTTTTTAAATAATGTAACATGTTATATTTGATCTGCAAAATACAATGCACAATAAACTAGTACAACACTATATGAGATGAAGTGCGCACGTCCCAAAATAACAAAGCAAGGGCCAAGGGCAGCACAACATGCGGAGAAGATCTAGTAATACTATTATATATATATAAAAAAAGTTAGCCATTCAATTAAGCAAGGTTTTTTTTTTTTTTTTAATGAAATAGCATTGTTGTTTGGAGAAATATATAATCAAATGTATGAGAAGGGTAGCCTATTATACTTTAGACGATGTTTTGGAGAAATACAGACATCAATTTTTTTCTTTTTTTTTTACAGAAGACTATTTAACTGTTTCAGAAAATTGTGTAGTAAGAGTAAAGACAACGTTTTTTAATTAATCCAAAAAAAAAAAAAAAAAGACGATGTTTTTTTCTTCAGTTTTTTCCAAAGACACTTGAGAAAGTGCTTTGTTTTCATATCGATTCATCATCCCTGTATCCGGAAGCTCTAATCTTCACAAATCACACTCATTCTAGAGGCCCTATTCCTGTCTTTGTTTTTCAATATTCTAGGCATCTCTAACTCTTTGAAAAATGAAAAATCCTGGCATAGACATTAACACAAGAGTCAACAGTGCGAGAGTGATTGATGTCACCATCTTATCCTTTACGTGGCAATAAAACTGACCAGTGCTTCCCTTGGGCCAGGCCTCGGCCTGTTGGACTCCTTGGCAAGCTCTAATAAGCAACAAATAACATGGCCGACTCCACATCCTAAATACTCGGTGCAGCGACAGGTAGATGCTGGCTCCTTGTCCAGTTGTCGGCCACCGAGGCGGGATAGGGTGGGTCTGATCACCAAGATTTTCCAGATAAGCATGTCCAAGTGTTGATGGTCCATCTCGTTTGTTAGTGGCTCGAAATCACCCTTTGTTGGCGTTGTGCTATAAGTGCACCCACAGACAACAATGGACTCATACATTCTTTGATTTGCAAAGTCATCCAAAAATCTTTTCAGATTTTTCTATTTTTTAAAATTAAAAATCAAAATAAATTGAAAAAGAGGGAAAAAAAAAAAACTAATTTACAAATGGATTTAAAAATATAAAGAATAAATAAATAATTTTTAAAACAAAAGGGACTAATTTGTAATTTACTCTCAGTATATGCGTTTGGTGATGCTCCCGTTGTGCTTTGGGAAAAAAAAAAAAAGGGCTACTTTTTCCATGGTTTTGCTCCTATCAATTAACACTTTAAAAAAAAAAAAAAAAAAAATCAATTCGATCCATTTTCAACCAAAATCACTGAAAAGGCACTTGCAAAAGGATAACAAAAAATCATTAACATTCTAGCAATTTGTATTGCATTTCCCATCAGGAAAAAGAAAAGAAAAGAAAAGAAGAGGAGAATAAAACCCTGTAAAATGGAGAATCAAAATGAATTAGACAAACCAATAAACTTGATATTGGCTGTTGTTAACTCAGAAGAATATAATCTTTGATTGTATGTGACATCCTTCTTGTCATCAGGCATTACATTCTTGAATCTCTTGATAATTTTAATTAATCAAGCCTCTAACTCGTGCATTTGCTCCACCACTTCACCAATAACAGATTAATAACTTACGTTCTGCCATCTCTAGAAATCAGAACTCTTAAGGTCTGCATCTCATTCGAGCAATTTAATCACTTGTTTGGCATTGCAATTTCCTGACATGTTTTTGCCTGGAAAACAATGACTAACGCCTACGGGATTATTGATCACTTGATGTGCTGTTTCCTGTTCCACCAACCCAATACTGTTTAACCACCACCAGTATCTTCTCAGGTACAAGGGGACCATCCTCATGATCCATCATTTTTGTATCCCATCTCATTCCTCCAGCAATTTTCTTAACCTTATTCAGAACATCAACTTCATCTCGGAAGATTACTGTCCCTTCAGGACGCAAAATACGATCCATTTCCAGAAGGATGTCTTCCAGGTTACACCTGTTTCAGTCATTCAGGTACATTTGATTGGAAGTCAGTGACGGTCAAAGTTAGATGACAAAGCCCGCAAAACTCTGAGTAGACACGAGAAAGGTCCAACATCTCTTATATCCCTAATAATATTTTCGTAAATAAAATGAAACTAAAACTGAAATGACCAGCTTATGAAGTCGTCAAATCAATATTTTGAATATTAGAATCGGAGCTGTTATCAGATTTTGAAAACAGATTATGTAAGGAAAGTAGAAAATATGGTTTTCATGACATCTATTTAAGTAAAAAAGCACAACTAATATGTTAAGCAAAAGGAGGACTCATTAGCATGGACATAAAATGCATCATATGACTCGGCTGTGAAATAAAAAATCCCTAATGACAAATTGATAAAATAATGCAACAATCATTTGACAGCACTGAAATCGACCCAACTAATGGCCTGCAGGAAGAAGAAAATGATGATGACGAAGAAGAAGCTTACTTTTTCTGGTACAAACTAAATACACCATTGGCATGGATAAAGTCATATGTCCTCGGGTACGTTGAGAAACCTTCACACCTGAAGGAAGACAACCGATGAAAATGTCATGGGGATTTCAGAGCAATGTTCTTGTTAGGTTTCAATAGTGAAATTCTCAAGCTCATCTCAATGTATTTCAATTGAGAGATGGAATTTAAATCGGTAAGAAACAGCTTATGCTTCTCAATGTATTTGCACTGTCATAAGCATTTTGCTCAAGGAGACTCCCAAAGGGCTTCATAATCGCTCTTTTACATTTCTATTTCCTATTTATTTACCTTCTGGTAGTTGATATCCTATTGAGGCCAAATAGAACTAAACTCAACTGCCACAGCATACTTGGGGTTAATGTGTTGCAAAGAATTTGAAAAGTGTTCTTACCAGTCATGATACATGCCAACTAAACCTCTCTCGTAAATAACTCCTAAAGTGTTATTAGCAATTGTTGGCACCACATTCATCACCCAAGATTTTGGGGATTCAAGTGCTGCTGCAAATCCCCCAAGCCCTGCATTCATATCCATGATGTTCCGATATCTTGTAGTGCCAATCAACTTATTGATCCTTTTATAAGTATTTACATGCTTTTTCCAAAGTTTATTGTCCTCCTGGAAAGATTCAGCTGTGACACCCTCAACAAGTCCCTTGGCTATTCGAGGAGGAATAGCAAAAAGCCTCTCTGGAAACTTCTTCAATTCCCCTCCTGCAACTTCATTTGCACTGGTTACTTTAGGGAGAGTAGTTTTGCATGTTTCCATTTCCTTGTACCTAAAATAAACCACAGAAGAAAGAATGAGGGGAAAAAAATTGCTACTTCTAGAAATTAAAAGGACCATTATAGCAAGTGATGCCTTCAATTTTGTCAAAGGGGTCACATGAGGAAAGGCTAACCCGATTATTTCACCATGGAAATCGATAAAAGAGGAAGAAAAAGATGCCTTAACTGAAAATGGAACATAAAACAGAACACTTTTTCTGCAGGTTGACCTCTGCTTATTTTATTTATTTATTTTATATTTGGCCCTTCGTCAATTACTCAGTCAATCTATGGTGATCTTAGTTAACAGCACATATGTCACCAGCTATGTATCTTGCTAGTCCAACCATTTAATAAGACATTTTTCAAGTTTCGATGTTTGCTATGAATTCAAAGTTGGACCCACAACCTCAAACGAAATAAGAGTGAACCTAGTACTACAATAGTACAATGCCTAGCTCCACCATAAATATTTCATAAGAGATATTTTAACCTAGAAAAGGGATATCCTCCCTTTCAAAAATCTCCTATTTCACAGCCTCCAAATTCAACCAAATAGAACATGAGGAAGCAAACTCCTAAGCTTCTTCTTTTCATTGTAAACAGCCACTCAATGCCATCTTTCTAAAAGTAAATGTGGCAAACTTGGCAAATCTCCACCCATTCCAACGCCACATCATATTTGATGAGCAAAAGAATTAGTGTTTTCATCTTCTAAGCAGATGTTCAGACCTCTAACAGGATTGATAAAATATAAAGCTAATCAAGGTGCAAACTCACCAGACATCATCAGCATCTTTTGATTCACAAATACTAGCAGGCTTCCTGCGGCAGTTTTTGTCATTTACTTTTTTCCTAAAAATGGCAATATCTCCCTTCTCGTACTTTTTCTCCCAGCAAAGGCTTTCAGCCAGCTCTTCAATCTTTCTTTGCTCGGCTTGGAGATCAGCCTTGGATCGTTTCCATGTTTGATAGTAGGTCTTCCAATTGATTGGTGGGCCAGAAAGGATCCAGTATCCACCAGGTCTGAGGACGCGGTCAATTTCCATTAAATACATTCCATCTGAATACAGAATTCCACAGGTTAAAAGGTACTAAACTTCCACTAGGTGAACAGAGATCTACTCAGTAAATTCAGTTCAGTATTGAAACCTCAAATTTAATCAGATAATTGAACATAAAGATATAACTAAAAGTTACACCGGAACGAGAAATATTCTTTTTGCGGCACCACCTTAACAGCTCAGCTGGTGTTTAACCCCCATCACAAAACAAACCATCTATCAAACTATAAAGCTTTTTCCTGATTTCATATGGCAACAGAGATAAGGTAATGTAAAACCTATCTGAGGGCCCAGGCACTGACAATTTTTAGCTTAAAAACATAGTTTCTAATACCCTCAAGTATCAATCCGCAGCAGATGTTCCTGATTTATATTTGAGAGCCTACCTTTTTTAGTTCATTGTTTTTACTAGAAATAGTTTTGTTCACACTTTATAAACGTTTATACTTGAGATATACAGCCTTCTGCAGTAAAATGAAGCCACAAGTGTTCTGCACTTGTAAGTAGCACAAAGGGTCACCAGTTTGTCTTTTATATATATCAGCATTCAATCATCAATCAACTCTTGCTAACTTATAATTTCATGCAAAGGACCCTTGTTGTTTTAAATTACACAATTAGACTAAGTTTGAAACGCACATGCAGAATTATTATATCTGTCAGTTGAAACACTAAAGTGTCTCTTTATGAAATATAAACAAAATCATCACTGATGTTAGTAGGTAGTGGCACTAACCATTTGCGGTCCATGGAATTAGACATCGAGAGCACTGGGCCATATCAAAGGCTCTTGATGGGTACGGAAGACGTATTGAACCTAAAACCCCAATAATAGCAGGTACTCCCCGCTCCAATGCAAATTGTACCTGTGCTTCATGATTGTCTCGTGGTGCAAAGGACATAGCCAACACATTTCTTTTCATCAGGTACGCACCCCAGCTTGCAACCTATATGATAATTGCACTCATTAGTTTAGCAACATAAGACAATAAGAAACCATCATTAAAAATGAGTAGCTTTCATACCACTGCTTGCTAGACTGAAGGGGAAGGGGACGAGGAAAAAATGTTAGGACCTCTGGGGAAACAAATCATGCATTTTTTTCCACTGTCTCATGCAATTAACACATGAAGAGAAAAAACCTCATGGTCCTATGTTTACTCACATTGGGTGAGCAAGACAGCGAAGAGATTTTTGCACTCTGAAATTCGCCTCCACAACCCCCCACCCCCAAAAAAAAAAAAGGAAAAACAAGGGATAAACTATGAAACATTGGAGGCTCAAGATTGAAGCTACATAAAGATATCAGATCCTTTGAAGAGGAGAGATCAGCCCCTATTTGCCCATGGCATCCAACTAAGGACAATATCGAGTGCCTGATTATACATAAGGCGAATTTATGATAGCCCTTCAATGAAGGGGGAATATCCAACCCTGTAAAGCATACCAAGACTATCAAGCAGCATTTAGGTGTTTCCATACCCATGATATTTATCTCAAGACAGAAGACAATAACTATCGACATATTTAAAGATAAAAAGCAAAACAGTAACCAAAAGTTCTGACTAACCACTGGGAGGAGCTGAATTCTAAGCTATTAGGCAGCTGAACATTTATAAATGAATTACGTATGCATAATTTTGATTGAAAATAATGATAATAAAAGCAATCAACATACCCCACAACCGGTATCTAGTGCTGTTCTGACAGAGCCATCTGCTATTGGGATCACTGATGCAAGTTCATCAATGTATGCATCTGCACCTTGAGGAAACATAGTTCCTCCTCCTGGAAATTTGAATACATCACCCTGAAATTGAACCCAGTTCTGAACAGCTTTCTCTACCGTTAGGCTTTTATGTGGAACATTAGCATAGTGGACATAATCGCGGCCTTTTGGCCAAGGAAATGGGGTCGTATACCCTTTGGGTGCTGGAATAAGACAATGCAGTTTTTCCTCTTCAGAAGGACAATGCCTTTCCCGGTATATCATATTCTCCCGTGGAAATTTCATTGCTCGATCTTGTTCTTGGCAAGGAGTATAATCAGTATACTTAACATGACATGACTTAAATACTTTGGCTTTCGGCTGAGAAGGCTCAACTATCTCAACATCATTATGATGGGTTTCAAAGTTCAGATCAGTAAAGATTTTGCAGTCTGTCTGCTTGGTCATCTGTACAGCTATACCATCTCCTTTTCCAAAACCACTCTTCTGCCAAGCTCCCAAGATGTAAAAGAAACAGCACAAACAGATAACAATGAATATAGACAATGGACTTCGTGTTTTGAAGCCCACAGAGTTATGCTTGGTACCCATGATGCGGTTGGGAGAATCCCCTGAAGCACACAATAAGATGCAATATAGTTAGAAGATTTAACTTGGCACGGAACATTTATGGCAGGGAAGGTAAAAAGGTGAGAGGACGTTACCTTTTGAGAAAAGCTTAAATTATTTATCCATCACGATAGAGATCAGATATGCTTAAACTATCAGTAGATTGTTATCCACATGAAATCATTACTAACTTCAGGTTTACTTCAATTAATAAAATAAAATACATCTGCCGTCTCACATAACATTTTTAAGCTAGGATTTCTTTTGGTCAGCCGGCTCCCTAACAAGAACAAGATGTATCACAACAACCTCTGACGAGTGTTTTTAGCATTTTAAAACCAGCAATCTCCAATGAAATTCTGGAAGTAACTCTAAAATTGGAAAAATAGTAAACAAATCTACTTCCATGGAAGGATAACTCTCCAATTATCCACTGCAAATTGACAAGAAATTAAAGAACAAACTCAAGAAAAACAGCACAAATCGTTGATACAATAGCTGAACACTTCGGTCTGAATTTGGGATCTAGATTTAGAAATAAAGTCATTTATTATCATGAATTTTCATACATGCAGCTAAAGCCAAACTTAGATTTACTTGCTGGGTCTGAATGTTTTAAGTTGTTTTTAAGCTGTAAAAGCTAAAGAAACACACTCACAGGTATTGCCACAGTTCATAGGTCTAAAGGTTGGTTATATTGAAGACAAGCAGGAATCTTAAACTGTTATAGTCAAACAATAGAATTGACAACAAAGTTACCATCGTTAACCCAACAAGAACATAAACCAGCAAACCAAAAAAAAAGAAAGAAAGAAAGAAAGAAAGAAAGTAACAACACCATTTGATTGCATTTCAAAACCCCGAAAGGAAAAGGAGTAAAACAAGCAAAAAGAATTAAACTTTTGAGATCATTTGATAGCATTCCACAAACCCATTAAGCAAAAATATTTGAACTTTTGAAGAAAGTAAAGAAATGTATCAAACCTGAAAGATAAATCTAGCTAGCTCTTCAATGAGAGCTTACTTCAAACTCAAAAACAATCCCTCTCTCTCTAGATCTCTATTGTGCTAGAACTGGCTTTTAAGTGTCCCAGTCTGAGTAGAGAAGTGAGGTGAAAGAGGGAGAGTCTTAAAAGACAGATTTTTAGGAGCTGGAATGCATAGTTGAACTAAATAGTCACAATGGGACTCTAGTAGTTACATGAGATAAAAACTTCTATATTTACAGTTTATCTGCTGTTAACAGATTGGAGAGCAGTGGCAGGACGAGGATCTAGTATTGTCAGCTGTATTATACAAGATCAAAGTTCGCACTGATTGATTCTAGTGTTATTGGGGCATTTGGTGCCTCTATTCTTAATTTTGTCTCATCTAGTCCTCGTACTATATTATTTATCCTAATATCATCTGCTGTTATGTACTAATACCATCCTGCCGGCAGCCTCCATTAAGATAGTATTGAAGGTGTGGGATGATATCGTCATTTGCTCCAAAAAAAAAAAAAAAAAAAAACCACTACTACTTAAGTTGAAGGCTCCATTTGTTTGACGAAAAACAATTTTCATAAGAAAATCAATTCTTAAAAAAACTATTTTCTATTAAATTATTTTTCAAAAAAATATTTTCAACCGTTTGGCAATTATAAGAAAAAACTAGTGAAAAATATATTTTAATGTTTGTTTGATACAAAAAATTAAAATACAAAAACAGATATGTGATTGTTACATTAACAAGTTTTGAGAAAGCTTCAAAAAGACATATTCATAATTTCACAATATAAGATACATTTAGAAAAATTTAATAAATTTTCACATGAAAAAAATATTGAAAAATATATTTCAACGTTTGTTTGATACGGAAAATTAAAATACAAAAACAGTATGTGATTGTTACATTAACAAGTTTTGAGAAAGCTTCAAAAAGACATATTCATAATTTCACAATATAATATACATTTAAAGAAAATTTAATAAATTTTCATAAATACTAACTCTAAAATTTTAATTCAAAAAATAAAATGTACTTTTTTAATCATCAAACCAATTCATCAAAATTACTTAGGACAAAATCAAGTCAATATTCACATTTAGTAAAAAAAATTTCTAAATAATCCTAGCATTGTTATTTTGGTAACTCAATTAAGATTTTTTTTTTAGAAATTGAACTGATAATTTAGTTTAAAAAATAGTTTTATAAATTATTAGTTATCATTTATAGATAATTATTTATTTAGTTTCAAAAGATTAATGTTAGAATAATTTGTAACCAATTATTCATTATAATTACCAACAAAATTTTATAATTGCTTAAAATTACAAATTATTGATTTAGTTACAAAAGAATAGAGTTGGAAAAATAATTTATTTATTAATGAATTAATTAATTTTAATTTTTTTACAAAAAATTGTAGTCTTGTAATAATCTTTTTCAATCATTTAAGTATAGTTTAGGTGATGTTTAAGATAAAAGTAAAAAAAAAAAAAATAGAGATAAATTATTGAAATATTCATTATAAAAATAATTTTAAGGAGTAAAAATGTTTTTTTTAAGAATATTTAATGTATATATAAATCAAAATATTAGTAGAAATAGAGAAAAAATAATTAAATAATTAATAATAATTGATAAAGAATAATTAAAAATTAATTTGATATATTTTAAATAAAAAGAATATAGAGAAAAATTGTTAAAATATATGAGAAAGAGGTAAGTAAAGCAAAAGCGAGACAAGTATGTGAGAAGGAAAATATTTTTCTCTTTTTTAACTAAAAAAATATTTTTTAAAAAATACTTTATTATTTTTTTGTTGATTTTTTCCTAAATATAAAACAAATATTAAAAAATGAGAAAAATAAGTTTTTGGAACTTATTTTCTTCTGAATAAACACAGCCTAAGTATCTATAGATTTTGCATAGCAAGCCTCCTCTCATACAATATGGTTCTTTCAAGATGAGATTGTTTTCTAAGATTTTATTTGAACCTTAATGCTGGTAATATGCTCTCTTAAAAATAAGGAACAGGATAACCTATGGTGCTCCTGCTAGCACAGTAATATGCCCGTTGAAGTGGGAAAAGAAAGATATAAAAGCAGCAATAATCTAGCGTTTACCAGTTTGAATCAAATTTGATCTATCTGGTCTTCATTCCATCAGATCTCTAAGGTTGACTGCCGACAGGATTCTTTGTTAAAATGCAATGGATCTAAGGCAGTGTTTGGATGACATGCATTAATAATCAGCACATGGTTTCACTCACGCCCAGACAGTACACTCAAATTATAAATCAGTCCCTCTAGTTTTGAGAAATGAATGAATTAATTCTTGTTTTAATAACTAGTTAATTAGTTTTTTTGTTTTTGTTAATTCTATGTTCTTTTTAATTTGTTTTGTTTAAAAAATAAAAATAAATAGATATTAGAAAAAAATAATTTTTTGAAATAAAATAATATTAAATTAAAAGTAATCAATCAAGAGATTAAAAAATTAAATTTTAAAATAAAAAATTATTTTTTTCAAAATTAAAAGAACTAATTTATAATTTAATCGTCACATACCCTTTCTGTTAATGATTTAAAAGAAGTCATTTTTTTTTTGGTTAAAAAAAAAAATCATGGGTGACCACTATAGCACCTGCCCCACTCCATGTGCTCCCTCACAACTGATAGAAAAAAGCTATATATATATATATATATATATATATATATATGAGGCAGTGAAAAGTTTATTTGTACAGAGCTGTAAAGGGAAAAAAAGGCTTATTAAAGAGCAAAGTATATTTCATTTGATTTAGAGTTCAACAATTAAAGGATAGATTTGATTTTTTAGAGGAAAAATAATTTAATATCAGTTGAGTTGCATCATATTGGAATGCTATTAATTGGGAAAACCAGGTGAAAAACAGTTAATTTCATTTGCTTCTATGAGTAGCTCAACCTTGCCATCAATTGAAAATAAAACCAGTATGATACTTAATCTGCCTCAAAAAGATTGCTTATTTATATATTTTTTATATCTATCTAAAAATATTTATTTCGTTAAAACTTTAAATGATATATATTTTTTTCTAAAATAGCTCTAATTAAAAATTATTATATAAAAAAACGTCTAAATATAATTCTTGAAAAAATATTTTAGAAAAAATATAAAAAAACTAATATCGTATAACAATTAATAACCTTCTCAATATCTGTTAAATATCAAAGAAAACAATCTCTTCGGGACTAAAAAAAAAGTTTTGGAAATTCTGAATTTTAGACCATCATGTTGTGTTTGCTTATTACAATTGTTAATAATCAAAAGTTTTTGATCTACAAATATTTAACAGCTCAATATATATATATTTTTTAAAATGAAAACAATTTAAAGATGATACGGACTGCCATATACTTGTTTTTTAGTAGTTTTTTTACTTCAAGCCCTGCGGTTTGGATGATTGTCTTGGTTTCTCGGATCTTTTTCATCAATTTCCAAATCAAATCCATGCATTTAAAGCTTTACGCCAAAGGGGCAACTTATTTATTTCCTGATATTTAAACTTTGCAGTCCATTTGGTTGGTAAGCAATCTAGTCTTGAGTCATTTTTTCCAGTCTTTTTCAAGAGATGCAGCTGCCTGTCCCATCTAAGTAAATTGCATCCAAACAGGAATCCGAGTTGTGGCTGCACTGCATCCCTGCAGAACATCACATATCCAGTTTGAATCCCCATGGCTTTCATTTTCCATTCGTTTTCAGGTCAAGTTGATGGTCCCATCATGCCTTTAAAACAGGATTAGGAGTAGGGAAATGCAGTCCAATTATTGCAACTTAGAAGATCAAGATCCAACCGTCCATAGAAGCTGCACCTTTGTACAGCCACTTCTCTAATGAGATCAGAGCAGAACATGAAATCTCTTCCTGGTGGATCACTTGGGAAAGCTCTGAAAATGTGATTGAATTTCTAAAAGGCCAAAAAGCCAACAGTACTAGCTACATTTCAGATTATACACGAAAAAGTCCATGTAAATGGAATTCCTACGCCCAATGAATCATTTGCCCCCCTACTGCTTCAAAAAGGATGACAAAAGTTCCAACCATTAGCAACAATCAAGGAACTAAAAAAGATGTATAGTACACCTCCCAACATATTAAGACCCAACTCATCTACGGAACTCACAATAGTTTTGACATTCTTCGATCATTTTTTCTTCCATCAAAAAGACATGTATGCTTTCCCATTCACTAACTTTCCATCCATCAAACATTCTATACAAATGTGATTCAACACCCGAGCGAGGAGAACTTCCCAAATATTAGCCAGGATTTTGTCGTTTTGGCTCCTAAGTGAGGACACAGCACCCCAGATCAAAACATCAATATCTTGGGCTCTGTACAAATATTTGTCATCTATGCATGTTAGTGAAACAGCATAATGGCATGTAAAGAAATCCCAGAAAGAGGCAACTTGAGAAAGGGAATGGTGAACCGATCCCGTTCAACAATTCACTAAATGAAGTGCAATTGTGAAACAAAGATCATTGAATCATGAGCTCACCGGGCTTCAACTCATGGCGTCCTTTGTCAAAATTCTCTTTTATGCCATCGTTGTACTTTAATTTGCTTGAATCTACCTTTTTTCTCATTCTCCCTGAGCTCAACGAACCTTCAACTATTAACAAAGAAAAAACACATCAAGCTGATGCTGAAAGCAAGATCAACTGCAAACTACACAACTGTACAATTTAGTAAGGTGCCAGATGAAGCAAGATTTTAAAGATGGCTGTGGGGTAATATAAGCACAGCCTGCACAATTTTTCTCATTGGGACTTGGGAGTAAATGGAGTCAATATTGATTCTATTTTAGTCGATCCAAGATTTTTCTGATCCCTTTATTAATTAGTATACACATGCTTTTTAGGCCAATGCTATGTAAATATAACCAGGCCAGCTGAATTGATTGTGATGTAACTCATGCCATTAGTTTCACAGTGCTAACTTTTGGTAACTTGAATTTGCTCACATCAAAGAACTTCTGCAAGAGTTGAGGCTCGTGAAAAAGCGCATTGAGAGCCTCTTATATTTAATCTATCGCACTTTCATGATTGCAATGTCATTCACTGCAAAATCAAAATTTGCTTCACCAACTGGAAGCACTTTAAAAATAACAGGCAGCAAAACCCCACAGTAGACAAGATGAAAGCCAATTAACAACAAAGGAATAACCAACTAGCAAATGTGAGCTAGAATGGAATAGAAAATGACAATCACATTCCAAGGATTCAAGTGGGGTGCAGCAACCCCAATCATCTCCCACTCTGCAAGGGACGAAGAAGAAATGGAAAACTTATTCATATATTCTATATATACCCTACAAAATTTGCAGACATTACAATGCAGGCCATCATCGTGGATGACAAAAGGTATTCAGAGGCTTCATAGAAAGTGGTCGATTCATCCCATAGGGTTTACAATATAAAGGAGATAAATTTTTTTAATCAACCATAATTCAGGGCACAGTGGAAACCATTTTTGTTGTAAGATCCCTGCTCTTTGTGCCGGATCATTCTTAAACGAATTACTCCCTACTGTTCATTTATATTCACAAGATATTTTGTTTCCCAAAAGCCCCTTGCTTCCAAAGATATTTTATTTGGAATTGTACTCTGCATATACCAGTGTTGATAACAATGAAAAGAGGACACTTAGGACACAATTTGCATGAGAAAGAAAATAATACAGCTTTTGTACCTTGCCATTCCCACACTACTTTTGAATCACCCTTCACTAGCTTAGGATACCGATCTACTCGAGAATCTTCCTGCACTAAGTCCTCAACCTGTATGATAGCAATTAATTATTGCTATAAAATAGATAATTCAATGTTGAATTTTGTATCAGGCATAGAAACCAATGAATTGTAGAGCTCCAATACAAATGAAAAATGCTATAAAATTCAACATAAGGACAAAACAGTGTTCTAATTGCAACAAATTGGTCTCAAAATGTTTGAGTTCAGGAGTACAAAAAAGAAATTGGCAAAGTTACAAGAAATGCTTTAAAAAACTTCTAGTCAAATGCTCTAATTAAGATGAGCATAGGGGAAACCGATTGCCTTGGAGAAGTAACAATCAGATACTAACAAAAAATGGGAGTAAACAAGGCTGAAGGTGACTGTACAAATTATAAAGGACATGCTCATCTACATTTTTGACAGGTTATATCTTGAAGGACGGGAATATTGATTCACAAAACAAAACCCAATTTTTTTCAGCTGCAGTTAATTTAAGCAACCACTCCTTCCTCTACAAATGCTTGTATCCTCATATTACTTGAAAAAAAAAAAAAAAAAAAAAAAACACAACTCTTAAGATATGATGGCTAGAGAAAACTTTCCCATGCAGCTAACTCATGAGCACATACTATTTTGCATTGAACTTCGATCCATAGGGAAAGATCCATGATCATAGATATGATCGGATTCACAGATTAATACCTTTTTCCATAAAACAGGGTCTTTCCTTTCTTTGGGCGAAAGCAGATGATCTCGTAATCGAGAGGCCACCACCCAAGGTTCACATTCTGTATTTACTCTTTTTGACATCAAGGCACTTTCCTCAAGTATGTCACAAACCTTACAAAAAGACAACAGTTCAATTAGTGTTTATTTCTTTTAAGAACAGAACAAATGAACATGGGGATATCAGTGGTCAACTGTCTCAATCCTGTTATTGCTGGGACACTAATGCCAAGTTGCTAAAGTGTGCATGGTAACATCCAGTGCAGTATCCTAATACCAACTTTACAGGATTGAATTAAAGTGGCAAAAGAAGATTCATTAAATAGTAAGAATCCCAACTCCAGAGAGGAAAAGGATAAATTTTAACCCTGCAGGTGCAAGGGGACCTAATGATTGGCATTTTAAGGATTATAGCTACTAAAATATTGTTGCTAAACAGAATTTAAAAATTCAACTAAGAAAAAAAAATAGGCAGGTTATTGTCCTCCAAGGATTGATCTATCTAAAACACATTGTTCAAATTTAAACCTGAAATTATAATTGCATAAATGATAAGTCAGAAATCAGGTCTTGAACATGAAAATTTGAATGATTCATGGTGATATGTGAAGAGCTGAGCTATGGCACGGAGCGGTCATAGAAAATAAAAATCATGCAACTGAGGTCTTTCCACCATTGGAAGTCACAGCATTGAGTACCTGGTGGTAAAGTTCTTCCCCTCTGGTTGATAGGTACCATCTACGTTGGATTTTCCAAACCAGAAATGTAAATCCCACAACCTGTAGGTCTCAATACAGGGAACCAGCTTTAACATTGATGCCTAAAATTAAGCATAAAAAACCATGCCTTTGGAAGTGAATTACCAATGCACAAACTGGCACAATAACAAGAGCATGTTCAGAAATCCATTGACGAAGGCGACAAGTAAATGGTTTGTAATGTTCCACCACCAGATCTGGACACTTAAACTCTTTCTTCCTACCAGAAAGAAAAGAAATGAAATTCATGTCAGAAAAATTTGGGCCAGCCAAACCAGGGGACTAAAAGATTCTCTAAATAAATAACATACCCATGGGAATTTGTCCTTGTCTCCAATAATCCACTAATGGTTTCTATTGCCCTCATTTTGGTATGCACATACACAGGATTGTCTGAGCCATAGTTTTCCAACAGCTGGTTCCCATCTAAATCATTCGATATGTCATCCCCTTGGACCTAACAATGAATTGTAATAATCATGTTAACACACGAATAGAAAAATCACCACATTCACTAGCATGAGCAAATGACAATCCAGAAGATATGGTTTTCAAACTGAGGAGTGCTGCAGGAGTCACATACCCAAATTATCCCAGTCCCATAGCACAAGAAATCAGCATAGGCTTCACAAAGACGATTTTCTACCCACTCTGACTGCAGTTGCATTGTATGCAAATGGAAAATTTTAGAAAGACTGTGTTTCTTCCATGGTCAGAAAATCAGCACACAAGAATGAATAAGATTCTCAGAACAGACAAGTTTCTTAGCTCTTTCATTAACATCTCCATCTTCTATGCATGTGTTTCCGCGTTTTCTATAGCCATGAGCACATTCCAGCTTGCGTTGATTACATTCTCCATTTCTTGGACAAGGTTCACATAAATCTGAAAGCGTTCATCCCTTATGAGGACTTATTGACATAAGCAATAAGCATCACATTGAATTGAGACATATTGGTAAGAACTACAATATTAGGATATACTGTTGCTTCCAATGCTGTCATTTAATATTTGAAAGAAGTCAAAACTCCGAAGGTAAAAAGGAGTATGCAAAATGCTAAAATAAAAAACAGCCAGACCTTTGCACGAGACTTGCACAAGAAATGCGTGACAGTTTTACCAGTTCAACCATAATCCATGTAATATTTTTCAATAATAATTCAGTCATCTAAGGGATCATAAAATATGCATTCAACAAAATTCTAACTTACATTCTTGCTGATTCTAACACTGCTAAAACAGTTACAATTTCAAAAATCACTAACATAAGTTGAGAAGAGATTACTTCAGATCGCAATTACGGTTTCACAATCAAACTTAATCCCATGGTTTAAGGTCTCAATTCCAAAAGGTAGCAATCCTAGCAATTGACCCTACACTACACCATACGCAATTTATACTAAACATACACAACAAGAGAGAAAGACCAACTCAAGTTTGATCCTTTGTGAAGTGACAAGCTGCGTTTATTTTACAATCAAGCTCAAACTGCACAAAATTGAATACTTATTGGCTTTAAAAAACAACTTATACTAATAAACACCCAAAAAAAAAAAAAAAAAAAAGCAAACAAGGGGAAAAAAAAAGAAAAAAGAAAAAAGAAAGATGCCCATAAAAAGCCAAAAAAGACAAAAAGTGTTTAGTGAATCACAGGGGTTACATACCGGATAGAGAATCTGCAGAATCTAAATTGGTATCACAGAAGGGTTTTTTAGAATGATGATCGTAATTAGCAATGAAATTACAAGTGACAGCTACCGAGGATGCGATTGCAAGTACTGCGATGAGTCTGACAAACTCTTGCTTTGAAGGAAACAAATTATGGGGTGGTTCCATTTTAGATATTGTCCTAGACGAACGCGGGGAGCTAGATAAGCTTGTTTCGGTGGTTCTGGAGCACGGTTTAGGGAGCTTTTTCGATGTTGAAGACATGGATTTTATTAGGCTGCGTTTTCCTTCTGTTTTTGCAGGAGCCAGAGCCCACAAGGGGAAAAAGAAGGTTTTAGTCTTTAGCACTGAGCTCGTCGTCGGTTTGTCGAAACTTCTAACCGTGAGTCCATCGTTTAATGAAAAAGCAGCTTTCTTGAGCGACTAATGTGTAATTTTCTCCTTTGAGGATCTAACGTGTTATGACTCGAAAACTGAAGGATTGAACTAGATATTATCATTAACGGAGTTTATTTAATGCCGTTAATGTCACTAGTCGAGGGTATACATTTAACAAATTAATTTAATACAAGGATATAATTAATATACTTAAATTGATAGAGGGACTTAATTAATCAATTATTCGTAGCACATGGGACCATTCGGATCGTTAACCCATAAATTAATTATCCAATTTTTTTCCATACCTGCAAATACATGGACCCAAGAAAAGGACGCGAAAGGTGTGTCGTTTAGATTCCTTGTAAGGGTAGCCACTTCATCTTTGTCGGAGAGTTATTTTAGAAACCCAGCAACAGTACGTAAATCTCTCACTCTCTCATTAATTTTATTTTATTCTACTTTCTCTCGCTAATCCCTCTCTAGTTTCAATTTACTTTCTTTCTTTGATTCATGATCCACTGCTTTCTCTCATCTCCTTTCTCTGTTTTTTTTTTTTTTGTGATAAATTGTAATTTTAATCAGTTTAAATTCAAATTTTGAACGGATTTTGGATTAGTTTAAGATTGAACGAGCTTGAATTATTGACTGGTTATTCCTATTTGTATGAATGAAGTTTCAACAGGTTTGTTTCCACGGATGATTAGGTGAGGTGATGGCGGACTTGCCGGGCTATATGCGTGCCTGTTTGCATACTGGAAAGCTTGCTTTCTTGGCCATCTTGGTTTCTGGAGGAATTGTGTTGCAAATTTTGGTTTGTTCTCTTTTCTTTTCTAATTACCTTAAATTTTTGTTGTTTAATGAGTATTTTATGGCCAAGTCAAATCATAATTTTCTTGTTTGTCATGTTTGGTGTTGTAGGCATGTGCCCTGTACAACAATTGGTGGCCGATGCTAACTGGTAAGAGTGCGAGTTTCAATCTAAGATGATTATATATATATATATTGGGTGTTGTCTTGTTCTTATTTTGTAACTTTGAAGTTTTGAATTCTTATCTGACTTGTTGTGTCATGGCTGCATAATCTAGTTGTTGAAAGTGAGAAACATACCATGTTCCTGAAAATGTAAGGTTCATAGTTACAGGAATCCTTTAAATTACTGTCATATTCATAAGGTTCATAGTTACAGGAATCATTGTTTCTTTGGTTTTAAGTATTTGCAGCTGCTCATATGAAATGAGATAAGTTGTGATTGAAAATTTTAACTGTGTCCAATTGCATGCCCTTTCCGTGTGACTAATCCGATAGGAAAACCAGAACAAAAAAGAAATTGCAACTTTTAGTCTAAAGGAATAGATAGTGACATGTAGTTTATTCAAGAATTTGTGTCAGCTGAAGTTATGAGTCAGGATGGACTAGATGTCTAAATCCGAATTTGCTAAGCGCCAATTCTATCATCATGAGGTTTTTCTTTTGAACGTGTAGTTGTGCTGACAAACTAATTAAACCTATCCCTTTTTGCCTTGTCTTTGTTACAAAACCCTAGCACATCAAAACCATTTTCAAGTACTCACAACTCTTTCATAATTGGGAAATTGATGTGCTGACACTTTACTAATTCTGACCAGTAGAATCATCTACTGCATTCCTGTACGCATAACCTAACAGGCACCATTAACATAAGCGTTTGTTGTTCCAAGTAAACTGTCACACCGGATGCCTTTTTCTGTGCTCTTATGTTGGTTCTCAACTTCTATTCCAGAACTAAAGTTGAGGTTCTTGTGATTCTATCTACATTTCATCTGTGCCTTGTAACGGAATGCAACGTATGCTATTTGCTTGTACCTTGCATAACATTCCTTTTCTTGCTCAAGAACAAATATCTTTTACCTGTTAGATGACTGCATTTTACCTCCTTAAATTATGTGGACTTGGAATGAACAAGAATGGGCATGATTTTTACAGTGCTTTCAATTTAATTGCTTTTGTAGACTCATACAATGGTCTTAGAAATGTTTTGCTTGGTATAACTATTCCATGAATAGGATAAGGCATATCTCTTTCTTTTAATTGCTGGATCACAGCAGGTATCCATCAATTGGTTTGAGCTTGTTGATCATGTAGTTCTAATGTGATTTTGACCATTGGGCATGGAAGGCTATTATGGCTCTCTCTCTAATTGGATAATTCACTGTTAGTTCCCTGTAGAGAGGCCTTTGCATTTCTCTTGAATAATTTCCATGCAGTTAAATTTGATGCTTGAGAAGCAGACGATGGCCTTTATCTGTTATTGAGATATCACGAGATTGAAGATAGCATGCTGATGACAACTCCTTTTCTCTTGCAGTAATAATGTATGTGATTCTTCCAATGCCTTTGCTGTTCTTTGTGGGTTCTGATAGTTCGTCACTTCTCACAGAATCTAATAGTGGGTAAGACTCTTTAACGTTTAAATGATTCCAGGTCTATTGACTTTTTGACAGTTTAAAATTGAGTGCTGAAGCATTTATCAATATTGCTCTTTTTTATGAAACAGTTGGGTCAATGCAACAAAGTTCCTGACTGGAGCTTCAGCAATCGGAAGCATTGCAATACCAGTTATTTTAAAGCATGCTGGTGCTATTGGCTGGGGAGCACTAGCAATGGAGCTTTCATCATTTTTTGTATTTGTGATTGCCATAGTGTTTTACATAGGCACGAGTGATGAAGATGATTACAGTATTCTCTGAGATTCAGCCACTTGATTCATTTGTGAAAAAATGTTGATTTTAGTGATTTGCAGGGCACTTTTCTTTCCTGTTACAATGAGCCTCCCCTTCATATACTTGTGTTTACTGTTCAGCAAACACAGTGTTCTAATGGACTGATATTCTTTGTACATGACGAGTGTCTTTACTATGTTAGCACTGTATTCGAACTTTTTCATGAGAAGCCAGTTATTTTGTGACCCTTTTTCTGGAATAATCCTCGGGAAAGAGGGAATTGATTACTCTGGTTCTTCCAGGATATAGCTAGGGCTAACTGCTTTCCTTGTCTCGGGGGCTTTCGTTTGAGTTGGAGGTCCAGTTGGAACTGGTTCGATTCTCGGATCTTTGCATATTTCAGAGTGGAATGTCTTATATCTTAAACTGGCAAAATATTTGTATTCCATGCAAAGAAATGTAGTGAATATGTGTGCGTTGGAATGGTCAGGATTCAGGAATGGAAGTACGTATTTCCTGCTTTGTCAGCAAGCATCCCGCCTCCGGTTTTGAATGTCCCGAAACTGCCTTTTGAATTCTACAAATTCGACGCATTGGTTGTTTTTTATAAATTTTAAAATCCTAAATTCAAGTATTGTTTTTCGTTAGTTAAAAAGAAACACGAGAGAGTTTAATTCAATTTCTAAGCAGTTTTGGGTTAAAATCCTCTTGTTCTCAATTTGAATCTTTTTGGTATGTTTGGTTTTATTTTGTTCCTTTTCGAAATCTTTGTCTCGATCCATTTTTTAATGCAAACAAAGAGCAAAATTAGTTATTCTTACATCTATAGGAAAAAAAAACCTCAATCAGGCAATAACACACTTCTCTAAAGAGTCTAAGAAAACGAATAGGCTAGAGAAGATGAGGGGCGAAATGACGTTGATTGCTCTTTTTTTCAGTTACTAGTAAAACTGGCCCCTTCAATGGTATTACAACTTCTGCTGCTAGGATGTCCCTTGAAAAGCTGGGCAGCTGCAATTCAATTGCTACTAGCAACCGGCGTCACGCTATATCATTTTCTTTAGGCCTCAATTTTTGTCTACTGACCCTCAAGAAGGATGGAACAATCGTTAAATTTGAGCTTTTTTCCTTTTTGTAAATAAATGGGATGTTCATCTTTTTCATTTTGGTTGTTTTGCAAGGACAGTTTTTGCCATGTAGTGTTTATTTATCCTGCTATGAGAAAGACATAACAGTTCTTTTGATTTTGAGCCAACAACAGTGAGAAAAAGGAGAAAAGAGAACATCCACAGAAGAAGAAGAACCCAACGACGACCAAAAAAAAAAAAAAAGACCCACGTGACTGTACCCTTTTTGTCTACGTGAGGTAATGTTGTCAAATTTCTCACTTTTTTTTGTTTTTTTTTTGTTTTTCTGTCCTATGATGCAATTAATTCCTAATCAGTTGAAACCCAAGAGAATCGCAAAGGAAACAAGCAAGAAAACAGTAGTTTTTTTCAAATTAGACTGAATTCATATTCTTGAACTACAATTGCTAATCAATGAACAATAAATATTAGAACGTAAAAACTAACAATGCAATTGATAGTAGAAAAAAGAAATACAGAAGAGAAGAACAAAAAGAACTAAAAAAGAGAAAAAGAGAGATTTCTTGCTAACTAACACTCACTCTCCTCACTCTCTTTTAATAACCCAACTAACTACTAGTGCCAGCTCACAAAATTAAAAGCTCAAATGCCAGCTCAAATATTTGCCAACTTTACTAACTCACTTGCCTCTCATTCCTAGCAATTTCAACATTTTATAAATGACTATACCCTCTCTCTTCATAGACCTTGTGTTCAAGGTCTAAATGAGGAAAGCATCTCTTCATATCAAATGCAAACGCTCAAGTAAGTCCTACACTAGGATTATTGGATCATTGAAGCAACAACTTAGTTGTTGCTTGATTATCTCTCTTTATCATTTTACAATTTACAATAGCCACTGGAACTCATTAGGATTTTCTAACCACATAAGAAATTGATCTTAAAATTCAATTATCTCGTTGCATCTAGACACCCCAACGTAAACCTCATGAACTAAATCATCCAGAACAAGCTCTTAGCTTATCACTCACCCTTATCAAGCTCTACTATAAAGTTCACCGAAGCATCACATTTATTAATATGAGACAATAAAATGAAAAAATTCTTAGCTTTTCGATTTCTCATTACCCGACCATCAAGTTCCAACACCTCGATGCAAAACTTTAGCTCTAATGCGAACTCTTTTAAATTTGATTTTGTAACATTATACCGAAGCTTTATCTAAAATTTCTTCAAGTTTAGTTTTATTTTTAGACTAGGATTCCATTTAAATGTATCAACCAATTGACATCCTTGAAAATAGATATATTTTAAGGTGTTCGGTCATATATGAAATAACCGATAAAACTCTCATTTTTTGCCTTTTTGATCCACCAAATACTTATAAAAATGTTACGAACCAAATGTAGAGACCACTAGAATACCAATATTGTTCCCAATTACAAAAGAAGGATCTCCATTAACATGATCGAGCTTATATACAAGTTTATAGACATTGCAATTCATTAAGTCAAAGTTAACAACTGAGACTCTTTCTTTGCTTTTTGAAATTTCAGCCTTTGTATATTTATGACTTTAATTTGAATAGAAAATCAAAATAAACAACTTATAATTTCCACTCTCATCCACAACTTGCAAACATTTGTTTAAGCTAGGTAAGATTTTTTTTTCTAGTACAACACCCTTAAAATTTGCAAAACTCAAGATCGACCAATGCCCATTTATATTGCATTAAAGCAACACTCTACTTTAGCTCCATATCTCTCATGCCCTACAAACAAATTAATATCTTTTATCTATGGAGACTCTTCGATGCCATCTATTATCTCGTTTACAATAACTCGTAACTTAGCAATGTAATCCCATGCTTCAAAGTGCTCAAACAATTTGTGAACTCACAAAAATCAATCATGTGATATGAAGAATGATTCTGTCTTTGAATATTAACACTTAAATTGTTGCTATCCTTAACACCATCACCTTCCATTTTTTTTTACAATGTTGTAGCAACAAATCCTTGACAACTTTATTCTCAATAAAAGATTTAGTTTCTAACCATTATTTAAACCGAGTTTCAATAGTTTTTTTCATACTCAATCTAATAAAATCACTTTCAAAAGAAAACTTATATCCTTGACTATGATTATTAACCCCATTCATGTTTCCTATTCTCCCAATTATTACTACCATTCATTCAATCATGAACTACATTATCCATACATTGGATTCTTCGGACCATTTGTGAACTCCCCAAAATTAAGCATATGGTACGAAGAATGATTTTGTCTTTAAACATTAACACTTACATTGTCACTACCTTTAACACCATCATCTTCTATTTTTTTACGATTTTGTAACAACCCTTAACAACTTTATTCTCAATAGAAGATTCAATTTTTAAGCATTCTTTAAACTGGGTTTCAATTGTTTCTTTCTTACTCAATCCAATAAAATCACTTTTAAAAGAAAAATCAGATTTTGACCATGATTATTAACCTCATTCATGTTTCCCATTCCCCAATTATTAGTACCATCCATTCAATCGAGAACTACGTCATCCATAATTGGATTCTTGAGACCATTTATCAATTCTTTCGAGTTCATTGATCTCTTTACTTTGTTCGAATAAAACGTATCACATTTCTTAATTAGGTCGTAAATTACCTTAGTCAAAGAAACAATTGATTCTTCTATTTTCTTCTAATAAGCGACTTTCTTTGTCATTATAATGATTTCTTTCCTTTTTCACGAGTGTCAAGACTCGCTTCTCTATCAATTAAAGCAAATCCAATTCCTAATCGGTTGAGAAACAAGAAGATTGTAAAGAAAACAAGTAGGAAAATAATAATTCTTGTTCAAATTAGATTAAATTCGTGTTCTTAAACTACAATTACAAATAAATGAAAACAAGTATTAGAACTTGAACACTAATAATAACACTAACAATAGGAAGAACAAAAGGAAATACGTAAGAGAAGAACATAGAGAACCGGAGAACTAGAGGAGAGAAGAGCAAGAGAGAGATTTCTTGCTAACGTCACAATCGACTAATACACACTCTCTTCACTTGTTTTTTAATAGTCCAACTAACTACTAACAATCACAATAATTAGTGTCGGCATATGTAATTGCCGACTCAATGCTAACTCCCATATTTGTCAACTAAGCTACCAACACTCGTTAATTGACTTGCCTCTCATTCTTAGCAATTTTAACAATTTATAAATGAGTACATCATTCTATCATAATAAATAGGTTTTTTTATATCATAGGATATAATTATGGAAGTAAAAAATTCAACATTCATAACTTGAAGGGCAAGAAAATATTGTCTACTAGGCGGTCTTCATATTCCTCTCATTTTATTATTTATGGAAATTAATTCCTATCTATCTTGCAACGATAAACATAGAGATGGAAGATGATCATTTTTCTTGATAACAAAAAGTAGAGATTATGATGAAGAAGAACAAGAAGACATAGTGCTTGAAACTCGTTTTCAAAATGCACTTAGTGGTATATGATTTGCTAGTGGTGGGGAAAAGAACAAGCTAAAAGGTGTGACTCAACGAGGCTTTATGTTATTGCTAATGAGATTGTGGAACCTTTAAAGATGATGTAGTTATTTAATGATTATTGATAGGATGACAATAATTGTCGATAGATGGTGATCATGTTAGATGAAATGCTTGCAAAATAAATCTTTGTAATTAGATGGAGAATCTTTCGATAATCAAGTTAGTATAAGAAAGGAGAGATTAACTAGAAAAAGCTATGATGTAGGTGTGAAGAAGAATATGAACGAAGTAGCAATAGAAGAGATTCTAAACTTTTAATTTTAAGTTTCTTAATTTTTATATAGCTAAAAGACTTATTAAGTTGCATAAAAAAATAGAATATTTCATTTTTTTACTCTTAACAATCTCTTATACCGAGTTGGGGAGGATAAATGTCTTGATGTTGACATGCAACTATTAAAAGAGCATGATAATGCCGTTGTTGGTGTGGGTTAGACAAACATAATATTAGGAGAGTGTCCTCATTTATTAGATGCAATCTGTCTTTTTCGATTGGTAAAAATTGTGTTTGTTTCTCCAAATTATAACCGATCGGGTTATTCTCATAAACTGTTCCCTAGTGGCATAGCGGCATCTACCGATCTACATCTTGTGCATGGTTCCATCCCCAAAGATTTTGCACGAGTATGCCATTAGGCTAATGAGGAGATTGCATGTACACGAGTCGGGGCATGGTGGTTGTTTGTGGGTCTTATGCGGTGATACATGTTTTTTGGGTATATCGGTTGTTCCATGGAGCCTTGACAAGCGTGATTGCAAAGACTAACTTTGTATCCCGATGTATATGAGACACTTATCGGATCAATGATAATAAGGAGATCTCTTTATCCATTCCATCTCTATCCATTCTAATTAGCTAGATACTAATAAAACAAGTCTTTTAGATAGGATGAAGGATCATTTGATGATTAAATTAGTGTATTAATGATAGCGTGAAAAAATAACAATGCAAGTATAAAATAGTTAATAAATAATAAAAGTGTTGAGAGAATAATTCTTTTTTGAAAAGAAGATCTTATGATTTTGTCAAGCTACATGAAAAGAAGGAAAAAATCATTTTTTTTATGACCCACAGCTTTTGATTCCAATTAAGTGATGAATGATCTAATATTGATTGATTATTGTTGAATGAACATAATGATATCATGGTTATTGTTCATTGAAAAAATAATTTTTAGAATATGCTTTCATTTAATGAATGTATTTTCTATCTCTTTAGTTGGTGGACGGTAGATGCAAGTCTTTCGATCGTTGACTAACTGTCCAAGGATAGTCCTAACAGCCTAAGGATCGTTTATGAGGTCCTGGGACGCCCGGGTTATACTCAATGTTGTGTAATGAGCGTGGCGCTTAGTATCCCTACGCGTTACCCTTGTTGGACCCACAAGTTTCTTGGGTACATTAGATTTGATTCTGGGACAATTCGAGGCACAATGTTTTTTGTAAGGGAGGTCAGACATGGAGCAAGAGACCATTGTGGCGTGAAAGACGGTGAAAAGGACTAAGAGTGTTGCCTTCCGAGCCAGGATAGTTGATACAGTAATGCTTTTGGAAAAGTGAGCAACCTTGGCTTAGATTTCTAGCCATGATCTTTTAATTCTTGTAGAATGAAAACCACGAGGTTGGCCTGAATTTCTATGGAATGAGGACAGTAGATACGGAATAGGCCACTTGTAGCAGTCATCCAAATGAGTCTCCTTGCTTTTAAGAACCGATGAGAACTGAAAAGCTCATGTTGACTTGCCGAAGTTAACAGCATGTGAGTCTGCCCTCACGAAGAGCTATACATCACATGTCAGTTGGTCCTGATAAAGATATGTCCAAGCTGAGAGTGTCTTGGAAATTTCCCTAAACCGACCACACCACTCGTCACGTAAATGTCTCTGTCTCTAGTTAGGAACAGAAACAAGACTAGAAAATTTCAATGCAAACCCAAGCATACGGCAAGAGAAGAGAGTGAGAGAGTGCACAAACAAAAGTAGACGGCAAAAAGATGTTGATATCCAAGTTTAAAACGTCAAGAATACATTTTTTTCCCTTAACCTTTTACCCGTTACATAATTTATCCACAATGAACATGGATTTTTTCAATCAAACAATCAACTTGCTAAGACATTTTCCAAGTTCACAACAGAACAAAGGCTCCTATTAACAGAGTAAACACGACATTTATCTTTCAAGTGCAATAACAATTGTGAAAATGACCGAAACCATATGATGCTTCTTGATACTTCACCCTAATTCTCTTGTGCTTCTACCTTGAGACTTTTGTATTTCACAGAACTATTTCCCTATGTTCCTCACTATTTTGTGACCGCATCATCACCAAATTAACAGAACTAGGACTCATGTTTAATGGAGTTTAAGCTGTTTGACGTACCTTCATTTATTAGAAACAGGTAGCTAGAAGGCTTCGACTTTCAAGAGGAGAAGGCTGGTGTATCTTGAATTACTAGAGCATGTAAAATTGTCTTCCTCCCTGCTTGTGTGCAGATAAAGATGTGATCATCCAGGGAAGCTTTTTCAAGAAGAGAAACACAAAAGCAGGATTCGGAATGAAAAAAGATACACCAGCTTTTTTGCAAGTGAGTGTGTATATGTGTGTGAGAGATAGAGGGGCAGGGCTAATCGGCAGCATTCATAACAGAAACATTTTCACTTCCATAGATGCATATATAGTATACACAGGTCGAAACACTTCGTCTTACGAAACACAAAATACATGTAAAATCACTAATAAAATTTATTCCACTCCTATTACACAAGCATGGGTCATATTGCAAATTTAGCTCAATCACGAACTGGAGGGGGAGAGAGCAGTGATAAAAATCCCATACTCGTATAATTAAGTGTGAGCCACAAATTATGCATTACTAGCAACAGGTACTTTCTCATATCCTTCCGGGCCCTTGAATCTTTTTGGCATGAAACAGCGACCGCCAAATCCCTGCTGCAGGTATACGATTGCAGCAAACAGAAAACCCACTAGAGGAATAATGACATCCCAGGCAGTGGAATAATAATCTGCATCTGGGTTGGCATACATGTATGAACCATCAAAATCTTCGACATAGTAGTTAGCCCTGTAAAGATCATAAGCATGTGGTAGCAAGCGCACAAATGTGGTTCCAATGTAGAAGAAACGAGAGAGCGTCTTTTCTGTCGAGTTGTGAAAAATGTTGAGGAGGATTTGAGGAAGAAGAAAACCATCAAGTACCAAACCAGCATAAGACGTTAAATCCACCCAAAGGGAACGCTGATAAGTGTACTGCATCCCGTCATCTAGTTTATTATTCCTCCAATTCACGTACACAGCAATTACACCCCCGCATACATACAATGGCAAAGACACATAGAGTGTCCTCTTCTCAGCAGCCAAGAATGCCTTTTGCTTCCAATCAGCCAATCGTGCAGACCATACAATCTGCAGAAGTCGGAATTGTAGTAGAAAAGCTACCATCGTGACCACCCTCACAAGCACCTCATTCGCTTCTAGCCATCCACCACTCCTTCGAAGAACAGTTGTGCGACTTTCCTTTGGCACAAACACAGCTTCAAAGTTCAGCATTAGAGGGATCATGTGCCCGAGAGTAAGTACAAAAAGCATGATAAGTGAGATGAAAGGGAAAACATCGGGATGCTTTTTCAAATGCAAGATCTGGTGTACCACAAAGATACATACGAGAGTATTAGAGATCAAAACCATGATGATCTCCAGATCCATCCTCCGTATTGACTCTCTCGAATGACGACTATAAAATGAAACGGCAGAAAAGGAAAGAGGCTCGAAGTATAGATGATCATCTTTTTCCCATGTGCTTTCGATGCTTCCCTTGATATAATCATTTGAATCTACTGGAGGGAACTGGACAGTGATAAGAATTTTACAGTCCATTGAAACATTATCTGGCGTCTGGCTGTTTGAGTCAAGATATCTGCAGCCCACCAAACAAAGTTTTCCCGTTTCAGTATCATAAATTCCTTCCGCGAAGACTTGAACGTCTGTAGACTTATTCAATTGGAAGCTCATTTGGTAGCTGATGTTCAGTGGGGTGCTATGGTTGGTTTTTCTCTTAACCAGAGAGTTACCAGCCCTTGAGCTTGATGAAATCAAATAATTGCTCTGCCGAGCAATTTGATCGCCCACAAAGATGGGTTTAGAGAAGCCCCATCCCAATATTCTTCTTCCTTTGGAGTTCTTGACCGCCATATCGAACCGCATGTCATTTGAATTTGCATCTGGATACCGCCTTCCTTTGGTTTTACTAGGCTGCTTCTCTAGGCATGACTTTCGTGCTTTGTCAACCACGGTATACTCATACCTCAACCCCGGAATGCCAACTAAAAAATTTTCATAACTTCGAAACATGATCGTATTGAAGTAACCTGAATCATTCCCAGGTTTGTTACTCCAAATATTCCCCACCATATCACTAGTATTTCTGATTGACCAAACTGCAGGGAATCTGAAACTCAACCTCACTGAACAATCCTCAATATGAGAGTTATTCAAAGAGTTGGTCGAATTCAAGATTCGACAAGCAACAGCACAAAGCCGATTCTTATTCACATCCCATGATCCTTCCGCAACCAATGTTGTGTCCGGATTGAAAGGGTGGTAATAATCATCATAGCTACTGTTGGGAAATTTTATCAGAAACCTCAAACTTCGTCCATCTTCTGAACATTGAATTGGTCTCAAGGACATGATTTGGGGTAAATAACCGACACCCTCACTAAAAGGACTACGGCTGTTTGTGGACTTGCAGCCACTTGAATACTCCAGTTTAAACCATTCATTCCAACGATAGAATGCTTGGCAAATAGGTGAACTCAGCTTTAAGCCAAGTGACAAACTCTTTGGAACCTCAATCCCTCCAGAACAGACATGATCAAGAGCTTTTTCAACCTTAGTGTACTTGTAATTAATTTGAGGGAACATCAGCAAGGAGATTGGCTTAAAATAATCTGAATCACCTTCAGTACTCAGGCTTTCCAATGCTCCCCTTACCAAACTACTAATAGTGCTCGAATTTCTAACATCATCAAGCTTAAGTAGAGCAGCAAGAACATGATGTTTACCGTCTTCTGAGTAGGTAGAACCAGAGCCAACCATGCAAAGCTTGCCAGTAGATATTGACCAGAAGCCTTCTATTTCAAAACTCAAAGGACCCCCACCAGAGATGCCTCCGTCCGTGTAATACTCAAAATCCGAGGTTTTCAACATCAAAGTTGCCTCAACCTTATAGATATCATCAACACCAGTGCTATAGACACTGTGGGTAAGAAAAAATAGAACTCTCCTGTTACTTGATGGATAATTGTATCCAGATGAGTTTGGATGATTCAATATTTCTTCCCCGCCAAGGAAGTACCCATCTTGGTTTTGAGCAAAAGGGATGGTGGTGAATTGAGGAAAAGCATTAGGATTTGATTCAGGGACAATCAAGGCACAGTGTTTGTTGTAAGGGATGTCTGTTTTGGAGCAAGAGACCATGTTAGTGTAAAAGATGGTGGAAAGGACTACGAATATTGCAGTGTGAAGCCATGATAGACGATAATACCATGTACTTGGAGGGGTGGGCATAGGAGAACTATTGGACATGATCCTATATTTCTTGGAGTATGGGAATGGTAAGGCTGGCCTGAACAGAAGTGGAATGAAGCAGCGGATATATACTAAGCTATAGTTCTGACAAAGGGTTCTCGCTTTTAAGAAAAAAACTCATCTTGACTTGCAATAGTCTGTAAGTCTACGCAAACGGAGAACTGTAGATCTCACGTATCATTTAGTCCTGCATGCATTGTGAGTTGTGACTGATTACGATATGTGACAGCTGAGACTTGTGCACAAGACTTTGAAGTTTCCCACCGAAAGAGCGGAAAGAAGACTTCAAATTTTCAGCAGCAAAGACTTGGAAACCTCAAGAAGACTAAAAGAGTTTCCATGTAACCCAAGTAAAAGGAAAAAAAGGAAAGAAAAAAGAAAAAGAAGACAGAGAACCAACTGAAGTAGCTGCTCTGTGAAACTCCCATTAATTCTAACCCTCCACAAATTTAAAGTCCGAAAAATGTATGGTTAGTGGATATGTTAATCTTGCTTGACAAGCCGTAGTGGTTTCATTTGGTCCAGTTATTTCAGAAACATCCCTCTTATCACTTTAGACATTGACTACACTGTATTTGCAAAGTGCATATCACTGGCAAATATTATGCTCAATGAAATGAGAGAGAAGGGTCAATAGAAAAGATAGCTCTTATCTCTAGTGCGAGCTTGAATTGACACTCTGTTTACATTAGTATTAGTCTTGCATGTTTATCTAAACAAGCTTTTATAAAATGTTTAATTCCAAGTTAAATTGATAAAGACATAGTTTTCTATTCATTTATTGATTACATAATTTATCAACTCTGAACAAATTCAATCAACTAATTATCAACTTGCTAACACATCTCTCGAATTTTTTTTATTTTGTTTACAACGAAACTTTCCATTGCACAACATAGTAAGTAAAAGAAGTATGATAAACAATAATAAAACCTTCTCAGTCAAATCCTAGTCTTTTTTTTCTAATTGCTTTTCAACTTTTTTGCTCGAAGAATGATCATAAACATCTTTGATTAGAAGTAATATTTTATTTTATAAAAAATCATTGTAAAGTTGAGTCAAAATTTACTTTAATCAAAATTTAAAACTTATACTACTTCCCCTCATCAAAAAGGTTGCTTTGAATCAGTTTTTTTTTCCCCAAACATAGTTTTAACTTAAATCATTTTTATCATATATTATTTATGAAAAATCAATTCAAAGTCGAAAACCAATTTCAATAAAACAGAACCTAGTTGCTTTTTTTATTTGGCAAATATCCTTCCATTGGCAAGCAGAAGGTAATAGAATCAGATGGCTAGAAGAAGGCTTCAACTTTGAAGGGGGAGAAGCTGCTGCAACTTGAAATGCTAGAGCATGTAAATTGCTTCTCTTTCTTCAGCAACTATTTCCAATCAATTTCTTTGGAAACAAGCATGGTTATATTACAGACTCGAACAGACCTAGTATCGAAGCAAACCATACTCCCTTAGTCCCCCTAATTTAAATCCGAGAGCTCTATTCCAAGTCTTAGCACCTTACTAAACCTTCTACCAAAACCCTGGCCTAAATCTCTGAAATTCTTGATACTGCTCCATCATAGCTATTCAAACTCACTAACAAAAAAACTAATCAGCTCTTTAATCATCTCCGTCCTTATCTTATCTCAACAAACAACCACGAACCAACAGCAAATGATAGTAGCCACATGCTTGATGAAGAAATCACTTAGTTGCCATGAGGAAAAAATATACTGTATACTTGTCAAAAAAAGTGAAGGACAATAGCCTCAACATTAGGAGATTTATCCGCTCTACTACCAATCCAACTCCAGTGGCAACCACCCTTCAGATGATGAAACAAATGAAGACAACTCGACCAAGTGAGAATTTGCTCGAAGGCAATCATATCGAGTAAAAAATGTCTTCTTTACCAAACTGAAATCATGGTTGAGCAGCTATTTATCAGTCAACTAACATTCTTAAAGGTTCTAATTTCAAAAGGGTTCATTGAGAAATATGCCTACATGCCTTGAGAAACTATCAGTCTAATATGATGCAATTAGCACAGGAACTACATAAACTACCCACTCCATCATGCAGTGACTCCATAATTAAGAAATCCTAATTCAGCTAATAAGTGCACCAAGAAGACTACAACTACTATAAATCATTTCTTCATCCAAAATAGCATCCTATGCTACCCAACCCAAAAAAAAAAAAAAAAAGGAGGAAAATCCTTCCTTATTGCTAAACCAAAACCCATTATTCAAAAAGCACAAAAATATCATCCGAAAAAGAACATCATAATAACTACTAGTAAGATTGTATTCATTCTCTTAAAACCAAGTTTCAAAATTGATTAAACAAAACCCTTTTGAAAAGGGTACTTTTTTCACTACTACGGTCTTACATGCCCAATTAAAATACAACGCGAAACTGCGGGGCGTCGGCATCACTCGCCGGCAAGATTTCCCAACGACAAGGCTCGAGGTCGTCGGATACGGGGCAGAATCCGGCAAGAGTAACCTTATCCGCGGTAGCAGATACAGACCCGAACTCGAAAACTGTGACGTTCTTCGGGGGTGGCCGGGATACCTCGACCGCGCCGTTCATCCCGGGGATTTCGGTGGGTGGCGAGGTTTCGGGTTTCATGGTGTTAGGAGCGGGTTTTGATTCGGGTTTGGAGCTCCCTTTAAACCACGAGAGGAGACCCATTTTTTTTGGCTTCAAAGTTCTAGTTTGGGGATTTGCTACTCCGTGTCGGGATAAAATGGAATTTTTCCAAATTTCAGATATGTGGTTTTCCGGATTACGAAATGACCTTCTCGTTTTTTCAGTAAACAGTATTTTTATCCCTCTGGATTTAGCAATATTTCATTTTGGTATCTATATTTTAAAAGTTCCTAATACGAACCCATTTTTAAAAGTTCAAATTTGACCCCTGACTGTTAATAGAAATTGTAAGCTAATAGTGGGTACAAATTTTGAGATTGTTTTTTAATTTTTGAAAGTTTCGAAACATTTTTTCAGCCGTCATAATATTATGTAAAACCAATGGTCCTCGTGAGGTTGCCATGGCACTCATTTCTGTTATTCAACTTTAAAAATTCAATTCTTTTTCTTTGCTGCAGATATTATGAAAAATCACATAATTCTTAATAGTCTTTACGTTATTATTCTTTTGACTTTAGTGTTTTGATTGGATTATTGTATAAGTATTTGAATTCTAAATACTTGGCATGCCTCGCTGCCCTATATTCATGATTATACATTGTGCTATAACTTGCCTTCGATTACAATTAGAACCGAATCTATTGAGATTTAAAATCATATTTATTTAGAACTTGAAAGAAAATATGCGACGAAACATTAAAAAGTTTTTTTAAAAAAAATGATGAGAAGGCGGGCATCTTATTAGGTATGTGCCAATATAAATTACAAATTCATTTCTCTAGCTCTTTTTTTTTAAAAAAAAATTAATTATTGAATTTTTTAACTAATAATGGTAATACTTAATTTAATATTATTTTAGTTTAAAAAATATTTTTTTCTCATCAATTTTTTCATAATATCTATTTTTTAGAAAAAAATTAAAAATGAACATAAAATGAATAAAACAGATTAAATAATTAATTTTTATAACAGATAGAGTAATTAATTCATTTCTCAAAACTAATGGCACTGATTTGTAATTTACTCGTATATAACGTGTATGGCCATATTGAAATTTTTAAGAAACATCATAATTGATATTGAAAAATTTAACATCGTGTTTACTTGTAATTTTTTAATAGAAAATAAAAATAAAAAAAAGAGCGTTTTCTAATTAAAAATAAAAAAATTGTTTTATTAGAAACGCACGTGTTTTACTTTCTAGTTCTCTAAAACACTGGAAAATATAAAATAGTTGGTTTTCAAATTTTCCAAGTTAAAAAATAAGGATTTGTTTTGTTCTTCTAATATTTTGTGTCATTTCTTTTTATTATTTCTAGGTTAAATCAAACAAGCCTCTCATTTTCTATTTTGAAAAATTTATACTCAGTAAACATGTTTCCTTAATTTTACATAAAAAAATATTTTTAAAATAAATAAGAAAACTAGAGATCGAAACTAAAAAAAAAAAAAACAAACAAACACATCCTAAGACTTTCAATTTTAGAGAAATGCTAAATCTACAAAAACTACAAATGGTTTATCCTTTTTTTCCCCCCTTTTTTCTTTTTTCCTTAGAAATTATTTGAAGTTGAAAGCGAAGCATCTGCAATCTATATATCCATACATAATAAAGTGAAAGCATTCTAATTGAGAATTAATTCGCCTTTCCAATTGAAATTGTGACAGGTGGAATGCTGACAGTAACAAGGCCCAATTTGCTTCATGAATGTCATTGACTCATTGGTCCATTTTGGATTGGATAGGTGCAGTTGGATTGAATTGAAACTGAAAATAGAAGTTTTTCTATATTTGATTGCTACTCAATTCCAATCAAATAATTAATAAATAATTAGTACACATTTGGATTTTAGATTAAAAATAAAAGGTTGAAATCAGAGGTAAAGAAAGAGCTGGCAGCTGAAGAAAAAGGTCACTTATCTTTTGATGCAGTTAATCCACAAGACTAATGTGGCTAGAGGAATTACATTTAAAGCATAAAAAATAAAAAAAATAGTTTCAAATTAAAAAGAATACAGAGAGAGAGAGAGACCACGGTTATCGAAAGGGAAAATCTCTTTTTCAAAAAAAAAAAAAAAAATCCTTCTATTAAATTATTAAATTGCGTCATAATCGGCAGCAACATACTCCATCAATGACTGCAATACATACTACAGGATATCTTTACTTAATTTCATTGAAAAAAATAGTACACATTTGTCTAGACATTAACTCTATTAGATTATTAAAGGGTTTTTTATGTATTGATTTTTTGTATTTTTCGATTTTTTTACTAAAATCATTTTTTATTGAAATTCTCTTCTTCTTTTTTTCACTATTTTTTAAATTTTTTTACTTGAAATCCATCGTTATAATATTAATATGTTACCATTAAACTCCAATTGACATATTAAACTGTAGATCCTTCACCATAATAAATCCATCTAAATTAAAAAAAAAATTAATAATTAAATAATACAAAAAATAGAAGAAAAAAATGAAAATCAAACCACACATCCAATTCTTTCCGAGCCCAATTCACAAATTACACTAATCCTCAACACCTAGAAACCCAACTTGACTTGTTACCTTCTCTTCAAGATTTAGTACCCAACATTGTTTCCTTCTTTGATTTGTCTTTACAAATTCTCTCTTCTTTAAATAACAAACCATACACCCCAACCCTCACCATTACCAATTCCAATAGCAAGAGCTCACCTTGAAATTGGATCAAATTCAAGGAATCCTAATGACCCATAAGCTAAGTTTGACTCAAAACCTAAAATTTTGAGTGAAAGTTCGAAACTTGAGAGGAAAGATGGAAACTTTGGCATCAATGAGGATGAAAGTGGGATTCCGTTGGTCGTTGTGAGAGTAATGGTGGCTGAAAATTTGCTTCAAAGAGGACCTTTTAATCCAATTGATTCTTCAACTTGTTTTGAGAAAGAGAGTGACGAGTGAGAAGAGAAAGAAGAGAGACGAGCGACAACGATTCTTCAACGAGTTGGGTTAGGAGATAATTGGGGGTGGGGTTTGGTCTTTGTCCTTTCATTTTCTTTTTCTTTTTTTCTTTTATTTTTGTATTATTTTATTATTTAAACTATTATAAAATAAATAGAAATGATAGGAGAATTGAAGAAAATGATGACAAGAAAATGAAATCATTATAATGTGAATATGAGTGATAAGAACTTCAAAGTTTCTCTTATTCTCTCTAGGAAACTTGTACATCAACAAATGAACAATCAAGCCTATTTATAGGCCTCAAAATTGAGATGAGAATTGGAAAGGACTATGAATAATTAAAAGTACATCAATTGCATCACCCTTTCAATTTCTTATATTGAATGGTGAATTGAATCACATTAAGGATCATGAGTAGTGGGGATATGAAAAGTAGATGGACATTTATTATTTTATAACATAAACCAGTTTTTTAATTGTCTTTTTTTTAATTGGGATGAATTTAGTTCATTGTAAAAGCCGAAATATTACTTGTTATAAAATCTAACGATAATGTGTCAACTAGGATTAAAAATAAAGTGTTATAACAAAAATTTTTAGCAAAATAAATTCAAAAAGCAAAGAATCTCAATCAAGTTTTAAAAAAAATCTAGATAAAATAATTCAAAAAATACAAATCCTAGAAAAAACTTGATTATTGAATTGCCTAATAGTTGGCAACCATATACTCCCATCAATAAATAAAACTAAATAAAGATACCTTACCAATAAAATATCAACTTAACAAAACAATAAAAAAAATACTTAAATAATAAAATATGGATAATAAAAAAAAGTTGGAAAAATATAATCACCACCACAATTATGGAAATATTGAAAAAATAATAATAGTAGAACATTGTTATAATAATAGTAAAAGAGTTGGAGAAAAAGATAATTAAAAAATGAATTCATTATGAGAGAGTGAATACAAACAATAACAACTTTAAAATAACTCTCACTTTTTACAAAAATTTTACACCATAAACTAATGAATAATCAATCATATTTATAGGCTTCAAGATTAGAAAAAGAATTGAAAGGAGCTATGAATAATTAAAAGTACATAAATGATTGAATCAAATGCTTTATTTATTTAATTTTTATATTGAATGGTAAATTGAATCACATTAAAGATCATGAATAGTGGAGATATGAAATAAACATAAATATTCATATAGACATTTATTATTTCATAACACTCTCTCTTGAATATCTATTATACAAAAAAATATGCTTCATTAAAATTTTACCGAAAAAAAATCCAATGGGAAAAAACCGTAATGAAGAAAAAAATATAATATTTCTTATATATATTAATGTCCATATTGGGCTCTCCTTATTGAAACTATCATTTAAAACCTTTAAGACGAAGCATCCTAATCTTGTAAACTATTTTCTAAAAAATTATGATAGGTAATGCTTTAGTGAATAATTCCGTGAGATTGTCACTTGATCGAATTTGTTGAACATTAATATCACCATTTTATTGAAGACCTTTGATGTATCATTTTTTCAATCGCGTTATGCAAGTAGTATTATCTTCATATAATATTGTTGGAACTTCTTTGCTAGTAGATAAAGTGAATGTTTCTCGAGTATAATGAGTAATTGATTTTAGCCAAACACATTGTCACTTTCCTCATAAATTGCTAGTATTTTTGCATAGTTTCAATGATGTAGCAATTATAGTTTTTTTATACAAAATCATGATATAGTTATATCATTATGTATAATTACATAACCGAGTTTGTGATCAAACTATGTGCGAATCGGATAAATAACATGCATCCGTATGACTAATTAATCATGACTTTAATTTATTGAAGTAAAATAAATTCATATTAATTGTTCTTAAAAAATAACATAGTTATAACATCATTACACTTATTATTTAAAATAAATATTCATTTAAGGCATAATCTAATCGTTAGGAACACACAAAGGCGGACATATGAGTCACTCGGTTATCGAAAACAACATCAAAATCCTCAACATTTGCATCATTACCAACACCACAAAACAAACATGAGATACGAATATCCCAATAAGTGTAACATGCATGATTTTACATTAAGAATTTTTGTACATGACTATCTTTAAAATTCTTTTCCTCATTTGGGCTCGTTAGAAGATACTAACATCGGTTAATAGGGTCTAGCCTCAATAAAAAAATACATAAAAATATTAACCTCAACATTTATGCCTTGATAGGCAATCTCAACCTTTAAACCTCAATATGCATTAAAAAAATAATCTCATTCGTTTACTTAAAACATTTTCTTTCAATCAACATGTAAAACACATGCATGTTTATAAATGCATTTCAAAACCATCACATCACATCAATCACATAAAAACACATAGCTTTTATGTTCATGGTATAAATGAGCTACACTTACTTGATTCCTTTAAGACCATTATTTATCATAACATTTCTCTAAAAATTAGTACCTCAACTTGATTTGATGCCATGAACATACACATCATATAACATAAGAAATTAATTATTATTATTTTATCTCTAATCATTTAATTTTTATTAATTCTTTTCTTGTAACTTTTTTTCAATTTTTAATTTTTAATTAAATCATTAACTCTACTCTAATTTATTCAATTCTCCTCTAAGTATATTCATATAATCCAATTTTATTAAATTTTAATTTAACCTTTTCAATTCTTATTTAAATACACTTAATCATCAAATATTCTAATAAAAAAAATTAAGATTTTAATGCTAAAATATAATTTTTACATAATCAATCCTAAATCATGAAATTTCAAACTCAATTCTACCTAAAATCATATAGAAACAAATAATTAAATTAAATATTTTTCTTACCTTGAATATTGAATCACCAAGACTTGAATCTTCTTCTAAATACCTTTGAATTCACTTCTTACTCAATTATATTCTCTTTCTCTCTCTCTCTCTTGAAATATAAGCTTATGAAATGACTTTCTTAAATGAGGAGAATGACATCCTATATATAGGCATGGGAAGTTGAAACATTTGAGAATTTTAAATGCATGAATTAAAAATAATAAAAGACCACTAACTTTCTTCTTTTATAGCCACTAAGTAGCTTTCTTTCATGACCATTAACCTTTTTTTTTTATAGTCACTTTCTTTTCTTTCATGGCCACTAACATTCTTCTTTTATAGCCACTTTATTTTTTTCATGGCCATTCATGTCTCCTCTTTAATTTTAATATATGTTTCAAAACTTTTGCTCTTCTTTCATAGCCACTAACATTCCATTTAAAAGCTATTGTTATTTTATTATTATTTTATTAATTATTATTACTATTTTAATTCTTTAATTCTTAATAACTTAAACTAAGATTGTAGGACTAGTTCCTATCTATAAAAATACTATCTATAATACCTAAAAATATATATTATGTCTCAAAACTCTATACCTAATCATCACATTATCTAAACACATAAAAGAAAAAAATAAATGGCATATATAAACAAAGCATATTTGCACACATATACACACAATATATTATCACGTAAAAGTTTTTAGGTATTACAAATACCTTTTCTATGTAAATTGATTGATGAATAAAAATCTTATCATCTAAGTGTTTGAACTGCAGGTCGAGATAAAATTTTATTTTTTCAAGGTTTTTTATGTCAAATTTTCTTTTTAGATAGCTTATGGTATGTAGAATCTCTTTAGAAGTTTTAATAATATCTAAATCATCAACATATACGAGTAATTAGCATAAACCTCTTTCTGGATTTTTTTATTAAGACACATAGACAAATGAAGTCATTTTTATAATCTTATTTTAATAAATATTTACTAAGACAATTATACCATAGGTGCCGGATTGTTTCAATCCATATATAGATTTTTGTAATTTAATTGACTATATTTCTTAGAAATCTAATTTACATACTTCGGGCATTTTAAGTCATTCTAAAACTTTTTTATAGATATCATTATCAAGTAATCATATAAATAGGTTTTGATCAAAGTCTTTTATGTGTTACTAGGTTAGTGAGATAACGAAGTATAATTGTATTCATTACAAAAGAACATGTCTTCTCATAATTAATGTCGAGTCCTTATGAAAATCCTTATGCTATAAGTCTTGCTTTGTATCTAATAATTTTATCTTCTTTTTTTTTTTTTTGCACAAATATCTATTTATATCCTACTGGTTTAACATCTTCGGGTTTTTTGATTATAGATTCAAAAATTGCTCGTTTTATAAGAAAATTTAATTATGTCCGGATTACACTTTTTTATTTAGGTCAATCATCTCTATATCAATTTTTTTTTTAATAAATTTAGGCTTAGTAAGGATCTAAAGAGTTTGGATGGACCTAAAATTTGGTAAAATAAATACTACTAAATCTTCTCTATCTTATAGTAAAATTCTAGCTTATTCTAAGTTGATTTGCCTAGATAATGCATCAACCTTAGTTGACAAATTATGTGGTTGTTGTTTTGGGATTTTGGATTTTTACTTGTGTTTGTATTTATAATTATGGGTTTGTTTGTTTGTAAATTGGATTGTGATTATGAGGTGGTCGATGATTGTTTAAGACGATTTTGAGGGTGGTTTGTTGCTCGAAGTGTTTCGACCTAAGGCTATTTGTTTAGTGCTTCGTATTTAAGCTTTCGCAGGGTTTGTCATCTTTCAATCCGGCATCGAGCAAACCCAAAAGACTACTTAAGTATCAAACAAAGATAACATCTTAGACTATAACCAACTAGAATAAAATTACCTAGAATTTTTAATAACAATACAATATTATTCTCTATGTAGTTGCATGCAATTTTAAAGGATTGCGTAAATAAACGATGTCCTAGAAAAAATCCAAATGGTTGCAAGTATTGTTCCTCTCCCTACATTGTTTAGAAGACCATCACTTAAAAATCATAACATAATCCTCAAACTAATTTTTCAAATTATGTGGTTGTCGTTTTGGGATTCTG